AGGGAAAGTAACAAATAATCCAGATAAAACATCCTTTCATGATCTTCCCTTTTTTTTGTTTTCTGATATTTGATCAGATGTCTGCATCCACACATGTTGTGGCCTTTAGAACCCAGAGGTCAATAGAGTAACTGAATAGAGGTCCCCCTCAAAACATGGGTAGGAATTTTGCATGAGTCAAAAATAAAATTGTCTGTCTCCCAACACTGGGAGAGGATGAGGCAAGAGCATCACTATGCCCAATATGGACAGCTTGGAGACTTGGCAAGACCCTGCCTCCAAAAAGGAAAGAAAGAAAAGAAAGAAAGAAAAGAAAAAAGAAAGGAAAGTAGCTTAGTGCAAACACCTTGGGTCCAATCCCAGGAGAGAAAAAATGCACATCTACTGGACATTATTCACTAAAATTTGTGTTATTGCTTATTGGAGGGGTTAAAGTAGAAATTTGTGGTGTGATTACTGGGCATCCATAAAGTTCTCAGAACAGGCAGGTGGATTTGGATTTCCTTAGGCTTACAAGTACTTGAAAGGCCGCTATTCATCTGCGTAAAACAGAAGTCATTCTGGTATTTCCAGCAAGAGGAAAACATGATTTAATTTAGGAATTTAGAAGTACCAGTCACCCTTTTTGTGGGTGGAAAATGAGTTAAAGGAGGTCGACAGTATTGGTGGAGAGACCTGGAAAAGAAGCAAAGTAAGATGATTATGAGCTCTGTTTGTAGCAGTAGCAGAAGTGAAAAAAATCATCCAAGACACACTCTGAAGAAAGAATTGAAAAGTTATGCTAATGCTTCAGTCACTTCTAGGAATAATTTTTTAAGCCACAGGGATTACAATTAGTACTTCAGAATTAATCTTGACCTTACAGCTTTGCTAGTGTTCCATTAAACAGTTATTTCACATAACTATGCTGAAGGGCCAGTTCTTGATCTGCACAGAGTAACTCCTACATGTCATCTCTTTGTTTAAGAGGTAGGATGCAGATGTGGAATTTTAGCTGCATGTAACTAGTAATTTTAATTTTCTACTTTTCCTACATCAAAAATGTGTTTTGAAGTATCTAAGATAACACTTCACTGTAAACTATTAGTACTACAAAGGGTTCCAAAACATGTTTCTATATAAATTTTACAAATTTTATAGATTAGAAGTGAATACATTTTTATGATTATTAAAATAAATATCTCAATAAAATCCATCAAAAAGATACAGTACCTCATAAAAATCACAGAATTTTCAAGAAAAATGCAAAAGTTATCTTTCATTTTTCAGCCTGAGACTAACGTTATGGTGTTAATAGTATTCTTACATATGACAAAGGATCTCTTCCTTTATGAAAAGAATCAGCTATTGAATTTTATAAGAGGTATCGTAGTTATTTGCATCAATGTTGCTTACATGAATATTTGATTTTCTAGACCCAAAGATTTCATAGAAATGATCATTTCAGCACCACTGGAATTTGTAATCTAATTCAAATCAATATGCACAGACTTCCCAGGGAAGAGCTGAATCAGTATTAAATTTAACACAGAAACAGCAATTTGAATTTAATTACTACTAGTGTTCATTGTCTTGGTTGTATTTTAAATACTTAGATTTCACAATTTCTACCACTTCTTTTCTCTAAATATCAGTGATTTAAGAATAATTTTCCTCCAAAGAACACTAGATTTTAAGTACGTTTTTAGAAATCTAGGTCTACTAAGCACATCTGTTTCCAATTCTAACATTGCTAATCGTTCCATTAGCAGTTCTTAGCCAGAAGTATACTTGCTTTTGACAATTTTAGTATTTACAAAATAATTGTAGTTGTATTGGATTATTTTTATACATAAAGAGCCACAGTAAAAGTAAGAGACACTATCAGAATTTTTGAGATGTAAGGAAAGATATCGTGAAGTTTCTAGTTATTGTAACACATTTTATGAATGTCAAGTAATTCTACTTTTACGTTGAATATTTTATATCAACTACAAAAACATTTCTAAGTATCTTATAAATCATTACTCTGTTGCAATCCATTAAAAGAGAATTAAGTAATTACATGTGACTCAGTGTCATTAGTTCTGGTTTTCAAGTTTTTAAACATTTCATCAACATTTTAAACATTTCAACATTTTAGTATTTTAGAATACTAAAATTTAAATTCTGTAAAAATTTAAATATACATGCATACAACATCTGTTCACAAACCTCTAAATATATCACAAATTCTTTGTTAGAAAGTAGAGATATTTTAAAAATCTTATAGAAAGTGGCAACCCTGTTTTTATCTTTGTTTACAACTTTTCATCATCTACAATAAAAAGTATATGTTCACTGTCTTGTGTAGCTTCATAATTCATCTAAATGAAACATAAAATTAAAAGTGTAAGCTTTCCACAATGCTAGATTTCTTCTGTTCTGAAAGCTGTACCAGTAGTTTACCTAGTAAAACCATTAATATATAATTTGTTAGAGTCAAACATACTTAATTTTCGCAGTATAATGCTCTATGTCTTTGCTCTTTTGCCTCCGTTTCTTTGTTAATCAATTTAGAGTGGATACTTTCAGATTTGCTACTAAAAAAAAAGCATCTTTAAGGGAAAAACATTTTAAAATATATCAGTACATTGCTTTGTAAGTCAGCTCAAAACCACGAGTTTTCTCCAAAACAGTTGCTACATAAATATTAAATTACTTAGGTAAAAAAGTTTATGAAACTAAAATTGACATTAGCAAGTCTACACTGCACACTAGTGGCAGGAGATTATACATGCACGTAATTTTCTTTTTAAATTAATCAACTCCATCTTAAATATTAGCTTTCCTAGTCACATTAAAAATCTTTATTGTCTACACATACACTCTAAGAATAACATGATGTTTGTGTTGTGAGTTAGTCTTCCAATAAATGTTTATTAACTACAAATATTCACTCAAGAATATCATTTTCAGTTAGGTACCCATGTACATACAAATGCTATAAATCTACATATTCATGTATATGTGTGTGCATGTACACATCTATCTATCTATACTGCACCCCACACCTGCTAAATGTGAACTTATTTGAAAGTATTTAATGTTTCATTAATTTTGCTCACTTTTACCTTCCTTTACTTTGCTTTATTATATTTTCTGTCATACCTACCTGGAACAATGTTTAGTAAACAAAATGTATACAGCTGTTTTAATTAAATTTATTTTAATTAGTTCATCAAACAGAAATTGTACATATTTATGGGGTACAATGTGACTTACCAATATATGTATACATTGTGTAGTGTTGAAATCATGTTAAATGCGATGGGTTCCAGCCCATATATAATTCTGCTAAGTCATCACAGCAGCAGTCCAGCATGGAGTGGGCCCCAAAACCATACCATGTCACTCAAAACCTAACTCCCGCTTCCCCTTTTACCCCCAATTTTCTGTTTCCTTTTCGCTCGCATACAGACACTCTTCCAATCAACGTTTGTTACGTCACTCAGACCACCCATATAAACTCCACCCCCAACCCAGCCCAATAAATTCTTTGTCTACCAGATCCTCTTACAGAGGGTCCTTTGCAGATCCCGCCCCCCACCCCGCCTGGTACCAGGAATCGAACTCACGACCTCGAGCTTGCCAGAGAGGCTCTGTGCCACTGAGCTAAATCCCCAGCCCCTTCAGAGGGTTCTTTGCATTCTCCAGCAGCCCTCCTGTGCCCACAGTAAAGGTTCTTTTTACTTTTTATTTTTCCTTTCTCATCCGCCCAAGAAAAACCTTACAAAATGTATCTATCTCCTCAAACATTTATTATTTCTTTATGACCAAAACATTCAAAATACTTTCTCCTAGTTTTCTGAAATATATAGTACTTTAACATTATCACAATTATCCTATTATGAAACAACAAACCAGATCCTCTTCTTAGTCCTAGCAAAAAGTTAGTTAATATCTATTCACCAGCTTATCCTAATTTTTCCCTTCCCTTCCCTTTCCTAGCCTCTAGTTACCATTGTATTCTCAACTTCTATGAAATTAACTTCATTTCTTTGCAGTACTGTTTTTCTGCATCTAATTTAATTCATTTAATGTGATGATCTCAAGTTCCAGCAGTAATGCTGCTACAAATGACAGAATTTTCATTCTCTTTTCTTTTTAGAATGATAAATATTCAAAAATCATTGAAATTAGAGCGTTAATGACAATAATTTTGTGATAGTTCATTAGAAAAGTAAAAAGCAAGTGGTTTAGAACTATAAGGCCAATATGAAGAACCTAAATTTACTTAAGATAAATTGCTATTATCAGATTTCTCCATAAAAGAATATAAAAATGTTTTTATTAGATAAGATATAATGTATATTCAGCAGTCCTTGCATAAGTGCTTTGAAAGGCTCAATAAATGTGACATGTAATTGATCATTAACCATATATATACAAAATGTTTTATACCTTACTTTTATGCAATTGCATTTTCTTAAAAAATAGAAATAAAGACTAACATAAGCTGCAAAAGTGTACCATGTAGGGGCTGGGGATTTAGCTCAACGGCAAAAGCGCCTGCCTGGCAAGCGCAAGGTCGTGAGTTCGGTTCCCGGTACCGGAGAAAAACCAAAAAAAAAAAAAAAAGTGTACCATGTAAAAGAAGGTATTTTATGGTCTTAGTCTAAGTAAATTTTTTTTGTGTGCCGAGAATCAAACGCACAACCTCTCGCTTGCCAGGCAGGCGCTATGCCACTGAGCTATATCTCCACTCCCTTAAGTAAGCTACTGAAGTTTGAATTTCAGTATTCTTATTTAGAGAAATTTTTCTTAGTGGAATTTTTTTGTAATTCTCTGCAGAATTCTTTTTTTTTTTTTTTTTTTTGTAACAGGAATCAAAGACCTTGCACTTACCAAGCAGGCGCTATGCCACTGTCTTATAATTCTCTACTGTCTTTTGAGCCTTGTGCTTTTGCCCACTAGATCACAGAGCCAAAGAGAGGCAACCTTGGCTTCTGTTTCTTCCTTTGCATCATCTGTTACTGTACCTCTTTCCCATCTGATGCCTTCGATCCTCTCAGGTCGTCATACTTCCGTTTCCACAGAGACAAAGCAGACGCCATTTGTTCTAATTCTTTTTCCAAAGCTGTACGCATTCTAAATCATTCAAGAATTTAAAAGAAAGCACAGTAGACGTGATTTTAAATCATTTTAAGAATGTATCAAATTTTCTATTTTCTAATTTTTGATATGTTTAGTCATTAGGTGGTTAAATGTTTTTCAACTTATTAAAATTACAAATATTGAATAAATGTATTATTCTACTAGCTGTATAGTAAACATATATAATTTGACTCTGAAAGCATTAACTTTCTACTTGCTTTCTCTTGTATATTTCATGCATTTCTCTCTTTTTTATCCTTCTTTTTTTTTTTTTGGTACTGGGAATCGAACATAAGACCTTGTGTTTTCCAGGTAGGCACTTGTGCCACTGACCTGTATCTTTGGCTTTCATGAATTTCTCTCAATTCTTCTCATTTGTTTATTTCCATACATAGCAAGATATATACATATATAATTTTAATATGGTTTTGATTCATCTTCATATTGTGACTGTATGAATGAATTCTCTGAGATCACACAGAATGCCAATATAAGGATTTTTTTTAAAATACTTGAAATTTTGTTGTAATAAAACTTCATTGGGATCTTTAAAGTATTTAAAATAATTCAAATTTTCCATTTATAAAAGTTAGATCAGAACTAAGATTAAAAACTTACTCTTCACTATCAAAACTATTGATTTTTTTTCCCCTTTGGCCACAGTATTCATTATAGTGAGTCACTGAAAATAATTGTTTTATTTGTGGCTGTCATTAGCACGTACTGACCTTTGCAATTGGCCTATCTTCATCTGTGTGATAGATTAGATTGCTATTTAAAAACACCCATTCTTTTTTCCTTAGATTTAAGGACAGAATTGATTTCCTCATTCCTCTACTCTGGACTTTGACAACAAATATTAGTTTCCATAACAAAAGTACAACTGGATATATAAATGTGTTTGGGATCTAGCTAAATAAATTCTGATTGTTATGTAACACTGAGATAGTTGTGGTTGCTACTTACAGCTTTATTGCATTTACGGCTAGTAAACACACACGGATCTATTTCAGTGATATTAAATTTCACCAGAAAGCTTTTGAAATACATTCACAGAGCTACAAAATGTATGTATGTAATATCAAAATTGAATGTCATGTAATAACAAAATTGAAAGCCAGGTACATATTATAAGAAATATGACTCTTTTTGGAAGCAATAACATGGAAATAATCCAAAATAGTTGTAAACATATTTATTTAATCCAGTCCAATAGAAGGAATATCTATTAAAGACATATAATTATATAAGCATGAATCAAGCCACAAAATTATAAAAGGATATAAAACAACAGCACTTAGCTTTACTGCAAAAGACTTGCTTCACAAAAAAGTGGAATCCTTTATTAATACCGTAAATATATCAAACAGAAAAATTCTACATAGACATCTAGGTATTATGATGTCCATCTAGATATTCAATGTCTATGAATATCTGTAGTTCCAGATTAACATCATCGGACTAAATTTTTGACAGATAAGTCTTGCCAGCAGATGTTCTAGCTGTTTACTGTGATGTAATTTTTGTCTTTAGTGGTTGTGTTTGAAATGTTGAGAAGAATAAAGTACAAAAATAATTAGGAAATCAGTAAATAGTAATATTTTTGCTAAATTGGAAAGTTTGTGTATAAGTCACTGCACACTGAAATATGATGTGTATCTGACATATGAATACTTCTAAAGTTCTGGAAGTATGCATACTAGAATATTCAAAAGATATTGGGTACTGGACTTGTAAATTGAAGTTGAAAAGTAGGGGCTGGGGATTTAGCTCAGCGGCAAAAGCGCCTGCCTGGAAAGCGCAAGGTCGTGAGTTCGGTTCCCGGTACCGGAGAAAAACCAAAAAAA